AGAATATCTTTGTTAAAGATTTATACCCTGTATTGGTTCTGGGAAGCCGGGGGTGGGGGAGGGTTGGGGGGTTGGGGGGAGGGTAGTGGGAGAGAGGTAAACATTTGTAAAAGTTTTTTTTTCAAAATTTTCAATTAAAAAAAATAATTTAATGGCACATAATAAATCAGGGCTTGTGTGTATAAACTATTACTCAGATATGACACAGAGACAGAACACATAAAAACTGAAAATGAATAGAAATTTTAAAGAAACAGTCACAACGAGAAAAATTATGGAATAAATCTATAAAATTTTCCCCAAAGTCTAACTTGAAACTGATACAAAAATTTATATTATCGAATCAATTAGAACTATCTATTTTGTTTTTTTTAAAAAAGTGCAGAATACACCAACAAATAATTCTTAAAGAACTCTTAAACAATTACCTTCAATATCTGCTTTTGAATGTTCTCCTTTTATTAAAAACTTTAACATCTTCTTCAAAACTTTTTTATGTGATTTGGAAGGTTGGAAATGTAATGCTTGGCACCTCAAAAGAGAAAAAGAATAACTGCAGTCAAGATATGTCCTAACTAATATAGAAATTAAGCATGCTTCATTTTGTATTAATTAATAATTTAGTTCTAGAATGTAAAAAGCTATATGGATATAATTATTAGTAACATATGTCACATGATTTAGTAATTTCCTGAGCATAATTTGGAATTATGAATCCTGTTTAAACAACTGCATTTTTTTCTGGAATTAAAATCTTTCAATGTTTTTTATTCCATCTCCCCAAAACAAAATGCAATATGTAACTGAAGACTCAATCATCAGGCCAAAACAATCTAAAAATCTAGAAATCATGTACACTTCAAGATGATAGATACTCTTCATCTGCTCTCAGCATCAAAATGCAATGAACTGTTGAAGAGAGGCAGAGTACAGCATCTTCAACAAAGATCAGTAAATATAAGAAAAGTTATTAGTATGAAAAAATAAGGCTGGAAAAAAAACAGTTACACCTAAGGCGTCAAAAATGCTATATTTATGATATATCTTCCTATATCTAGGGTTACGGATCCCGTTGCAACCGATACGGTGCAACGGGGCCGGGTGTCCACCACGTGCACGTGTGCAGCACACGCGTACATGTGTACTTACCACCCGCGACGCTCTGCGACACTCTAGCTGCTCAGCAGAGCATCACGCAGGAGTCGTATGCTCCGTGCGCGGAAGCCCCGATTGGCTCAAATATAGGTAAGGGCGGCGGGCGGACAGGTGGGCCCTCCAGAGCACTGTACCGGAACAGTACCTGGTGCTCCCAGCAGGCACTGATACACCCCTACCGGGGCGTACCGGTTGTATCCCACCACTGCTAGATAAGGTCTCTCAATATGGATGCTATGGAAAGTAGTAAAGATGATGCTGTTCCAGAGAGCCTTGGGGATTGATTGAGCACCATCTGAAACCAGTTTTTATTTCTAACTTTTTTAATTAGCTATTTAATTTGGTAGTTGATTTACTGTAGTTTATTTTGTATTGCAATAGTTAGACTTATATACCGCTTCATAGGGCTTTCAGCCCTCTCTAAGCGGTTTACAGAGTCAGCATATTGCCCCCAACAACAATCCGGGTCCTCATTTTACCCACCTCGGAAGGATGGAAGGCTGAGTCAGTATTGGTTTTATTCAATGTTCTGTAACTCTTACAATTCAAAGGCATGTAGGTTTGATAATTAAATATTTTTTCTTGACTAGCTAGGTCAACAATAAATATGTCTTTACAAAGATTTTAATGCAAACTTTCATTCTACAGCAAATCTTTGATAACCATCCTATAGACTAACACAGCCACTTGTCCTAACATGAAATCTGATGAACCCCCGTTTTAAATAAAATTTATTATCTTAATTAAAAGAGTTATAATCTCGCAACATTACCAAATTTAACAATATTCAAATTAGTCCTCCTTGCAATCTTGCAAGGTTTTAATCAAGAATGTAGGTATTTCCTATAATGATTACTTACATCATTCTATGTGAATTATTAATTAGAAACCACTCTGCTATATAATTGCTGACTCTCATTTACAAGGCAAATTAGGCTGAGACATGCTAAACACTTAAACAGACATTTGGATATGGCAATTACATAACACAGGAACTAAATTAGAAAAAATGTTTAAGTACTGCATAAGACTTACCTTACTGTATACTGAGGACAGCATGTCTGATTCATAGTAGGCTTATAAACATATTTTCCACTTCTGTGAATTAAAAAGATGAACATATTTTGATGAATTCTTACAATTCTCTTAAGCTAAAATATATAATAAATATCACACCTTAGAGGCAAAAAAGCTTTATGTAAACAATCAAATTATATAATCCACTATATAATCTATAAATGTGTTAATATACTGTACGTAACATAAATCTTCTGAGCTTTATAATGTTAAAACAATCTCATCATCCCTTTGATGGAAACACTTTTTTCATCTTCATTTTCCTGATACCTTTACAATTAGTATTATAATATTTTGGATGGCTATACAAATATTAGGTAGTTATCCTAAACCCTATCAATTTAGCCCCTCTAACTTTAATGGATATTTTCCAAACTATACAGAGAAAGATATGGATGACAAGTTCAGCATATTCAAATTCTGACGCCTTTAAATTCTGTGGAATTAAAGATGAATGAAGCAATAAATATATGATACAGAGTGGGATTTTATTCCAAACTTTCATTCCCTGATAACCAAAGATACGGGGTACCAGTGTACCATATCTTAAAAAGCCGACAAATTTTATTTGTTGGTAGATTTATATCACAACATTCTTGCAGGAGCTAAAGGCAGCTATAAGTATGCTCTCCTCTAATTTTAAGACAATCACAACCTTGTGAGTTTTTTTGCTCAGAGGGAATGTCCATTTTCCATGAGGGAATGTCCATTTTCCATTTTCCTGAGGTAGACCTGAACCAGGGTTTCCAGTTGTGGTTAAATGTTTTAATCAGCAATTAAGAAGACCCTGTATTTGCAATAGTCACACTTATGGAGGTGGGACAGCACTCCCTCCCTCCATAATATTCATTATGTTAGAACACAGTATAAATAAGAAGCAATAGATTACATGTGGATCTAACCAGAGTGCTAATTGTTTATATTACTGTGAATACTTAAAATACTGGTATAATTTCTTAAGTCTCATTTTATACTGCATTTTATACTAAAAGTTATACTAAAAGTATTGAAATTTTCAGGTAATATTTGGAGAGTTATTTTATGTAGTAAGATGACCATTGGTGTCATCACCTCAAGTAATGTCTAACACTCTAAATATATGGGGGTACTTAATGATTTTATGTATTTTATAGGACATCAATAGTATTTTACTGGTTATGATCCCATGTTTTTTTATACTGGAGTTTAATCTGGAATATTCAATTAATCGCTTACCTTCGCCACCCTCGATCTATAAGATCCTGGTAGTCTTGAACAGTCAGTGAGTGAGCCCACATGCCTGGCGCAAATATTCATACAAAAAAATATTTATATAAATATTGGGAGAACTTTGCTTCAAACAACGAAAAAATGGAAACTCTCTACATGCATCTTAATAACACAAAATTATTTTTAAAAATACTATTGGAACTTTTCAAAATCATAGTTAAACACATAATTAACATTAAAGCAATGCTTTGGTACATATGGCTTCCTCAACATCTTGTACTTATTTTCATTCATTAGATTACTTTTCATTATGTCTGGCTTCATATAATACATTAGATCAAGGTTCGAGGTTTATTTTATTTATATGCTGCCCTATTTCCAGCGGGACTCAGGGCGGCGCACAAACCCAAGGAGGGGAAGGGAAACACAAAAACTACAACAAAAAGTACAGGGCATTTAAAACAACCAACAGCCACTCGATTCGAGAGGGGAAGGGAACCCAGGCCTGCCGACACAGTGAGGTTTTAACGGCTTTTCGGAAGGCCTGGAGAGAGATGAGGGTCTGAATCTCTGTGGGGAGCTCGTTCCAAAGGGCCGGAGCCGCCACAGAGAAGGCCCTCC